AGGTGCCGCAGTGCATGCAGTGTACAGCTCGCATGAAGACCTGCAGTCCGTTTTTTGCGTGGCGTGCGGCCTAGGCACACATGCTCCTGCGCGATGCATAGATGACTTGGGCCAGGAGCACCTGTGCAAGCACAAGGCTTGCCAGCACGCGTTTACACTCATGCCATAACACCAACACGCGCTGCTGACTGACGCACATGAGCATTTCAAGTGGATCCCATGGCAATTGCGACTCGCAGCACGCCAGTAACAAGAAGCCGTGGAAGCACGCTCCCACAAAGCCGCGCGCCGAGACACAGCTACTGGCGCATGCCTTTTTCGATGACACCCCCGAAATAAACGTGGAAGGCAGAGCGCTCACCGCAAGCTGGCTGCATCGCATCTAGCAAGTGTTCCGCAACGCCCTGGCCCTATGCCAAGCAGTGTATTTGCTTAACGCCAAGGCCCTGGACCAGCAAATCGCCAACATGTGCCTCTCTCAGCCAGACCCGGCGCTCTCGCAACGACCTCAGCGGCAGATCTGGGGCACAATCATCAACCTAACGCAGCGAAAATGGTGCGTGGATGATGCCTTCCATGAACTCACTCATGGCCGCATGGAGACACACTCACTGCTCATGCTCCGCCCCAAAACCGCCAAGCCGCCACCGGCGGCGCAACCCGTCAAGCGACCGCGTAGCGCAGCGCGGCCGTCCAAAAGACCGCCAGACAGCATAAAGCCGAGCCGCCCCGGAAAAAGGGGAAGGGAAAAGGCAAAGGCAAAACCCGCGACGCCTGGGCGGCATCTTATCAAGGCAAAGCAATCTGCCGCAGATTCCAGCCAGTTTGCGCATGTGTGCGCAATAAAGGGCTGCCAGCAGGCGCGCGGCGTCCAGCCAATCACACATGAAACAGTCGGGGGACGTTCCGGCTGCCCCTCCGGGCAGTGCGCTCACACAACACCCAGCGTGGCCAAGTCTGATTACAACTCACGCCTGCGCGCGAAGCCTGCGCTTCTGCAAGCAAGAGAGGCGCTCTCTTCCTCACCAGTCGCCTCAACGTGCAACTCCCAGACAAAGCAGGCCGCGTCCGATTCCGCGCTCCCACCTTGCAGCGCGGATGCGCCAGAGACGCATACCCCCCAAGGAGGAGGTTTCCTCTTAGATGTCTTCGCAGGAACGCACGCACCGATATCGGCGGCCGCTGACAGACACGGCCTTGCACGCTTCGAGGCCTTCGATTTCGACGCGGACGCAGAACACGACACCCTTGACGACGCCTGGTTCGAACTGCTGCTGCGCATCTGCTGGTCAGGCATCGTGAGCATGTTAACCTTAGCTCCGCCGTGTAAGGAGTATAGTAGGCTTAAACTCCGCCCCGGCGGCCCAAAAGCCTTACGCCGCTTGCACGCAGGAAGAAAAATCACGGGTAGCGCAAAGCCGGGAAATTCACAGAAGAGGCAGAGAACTCTCTTCAAAGCAGTAGCCAAGCAGTGCGGAGTAGCAACCCTCGAGCAGCCACCATCCAGCATGGCATGGCTCGAGCCAGCAAATTTTCAGTGTCTCAAAACTTTCCACGGGCACTTGGCGTGCAACAACCCGTATGTGGCAGCCTGCTGCGATCACCAAACCAAGCGCCCCAGCATCGCAGGAGTGCGGAACAGCTCAGGCCAATTTCTTAGCACCTTGACAGCAGAATTCCAAGCAAGCCTGGCCGCGCGCCTTGTAACGCATTGCGCATTCAAAGTCAAAAACGACCCACAGGTGTGAGAGCTTCGAAAGACGTCCATTCTGGCCCTCCACCCCAGCAGACTCAAAGTCTGCGACGGAGCGGGCATGCGCTCCACGGCAGATCACTCCGTGCCATCCACTGGGCACAGTGGCGCAAGCTTGGCTGGGCTGGGCGGAGGCTCGCAGCTTGACTCCCAAAATTCTTGCTCACGTGGCCCTGAGCCCCCACTATCCGCTAAGGGTTCCGAAGACGCAGCGCGCATCGCCTTTCAGGCCATGAACGCTCCAGCCCCAGCCTGCGTTGCTCCTGACGATGGCCAGCCATACAGGCTGTCATTGCTGCATGCGCTGGCCACCGCATCCGATGATCCGGACATCAAACTCCTTCCCCTTCTCGCTGAAGGCGTGCTCACAGGGGCCTGGCGCAACGGCGCTGCAGTAGGCAAGCTCAATGTTGTGCACGCAGAAGGGAAAGAACCACGCCTGGTCCTGGACAGCACTGTGTGCGGGGTAAACCCCAAGCGCAATATCCCAGAACGCATCAGCCTGCCAATGGCGTCCGACGTTCGCCTTGCATTCCTGCCAGAAGACACGCATGCGTCATTTATCGGTGCCAGCTTTGACTTTAAGGCGGCGCATAAACAAATTCAAGTGCGCCCCAGCAAGCATGGTTTGCTGCTCTTTCGCTACGCTGACACTCTGTACCGTTACCGAGTCTGCCACTTCGGAGCCCGGTTCTCCGCGTACTGGTGGCAGCGCACAGGCGCATTCCTGCTCAGACTGTTGCACGGCGCACTCTCAGCGCGCCCGCACAGAGCGTGGCTGTTTGTCGATGACCTGCTGGGCTTTGCGCCGCCCTTGCTCGCGTCACCAACTGGCGTCGATTGTCATTTTCTTCCCAGCTATCTCAGCGCCCATTTGATGGAGAAAAGTGCAACTCCAAAACTGCCTAGTTTGGTGTGGATGGTCTGCTGAAGACTCTTAAGCTTAAAGAGCAGTTGCAGGTTCTGCTCCGATCCAACAGAATTAAGAGGAAACTCTTGGAGCATGTACTAGGGCTGCTCATCTGGGCAACAAGCCTAAGCCTAGAGCTGAGATCATAGCTTGCTCCATTATACGCAGATCTGCGTTCGCCACCAGGATGCATCATCTCCGTGAACGCACGCCTGTGGCCTGCCTTCCTCTCAGCATTGAACTCCAAAGCCATCCTGGCATCGCCAGTGCGCGGCATTTTCATGCCGCTTGGTTCTGGAATACCAGCCAATCCTACGACTTGCCTCGCGTAGTGCCCAGTCGCAAGATGGCTTGGGTGCGCATGAGCGCACCCGCTTGTCCAAGGCAAGCAAAGCCAACGTTGAGTGGCTGCTACAATGCTTTCAAGCAGATTTAGCATGCCTACTCAAAAGTAAGCCGCTCCTGGCATGCAAAGCAGCCGCAGAAGCCTGTGCTGAAGGCGCCAAAGTGGGCATAGGCGGCGGTTCATCTCCAGCCGGCCCGTTTCTTGGTTCGCAGAAACCTATGACTTGCAAGAAGTCCAGCAGCAATGGCCGTGCCTAACAAAAGAAGCCCAACGCTATATAGCGTGCTTCGAAACCTTGCCAACTTGCACTCACGCGGGTTGCGTGGGCCGCCGAAGGCCAGTCAGCGCACGGCATATGCATGCCCTCCAGCACAGACAACACCGCCTCCGAAGCCGGAGGGGTTAATGGGCTATTTACCACAGCATGGCCGTTGCAAATCTTTGTGCAGCTAGTTGCCGCATGGGCATACAAGCACAAATGGTCAGTGATGGCCTCGCATTCCAGGCGAACGCAACGTGTGGGCTGATCAACTCAGCCGCGGGAACACATCCGCCTTTGACAGCAAGCCGCATGCTGGATTTAGGTTTAGCCCGCGTGATTTCTGGCCCCATAAATCCGCGCTGTCTTTGCATCCAGCCGACACACCCTGGCGGCCGGAGCATAAGCGTGCTTTGCAAACGCACTGAAGAGGGGGCGATAGATTAGGCGCAGGGAAAGGACACGCATTGTTTTTCCTCCTGCGCCCCCGAGCCTGGGCTTCCAAGCAACTCCTCATAAAGAAAAAGAACCGAGCGCACCTTTTGTCGGTCGTTCTCTTTTGTCTTTTGATGCATGTTCCCTTACGTCTAGCAGTGATCAAGATTCTAACGTTTGGGGTTTGCCTTTTCCCCCATGTTTTAATCTTGATCGAATCTTCGGACGCGTTGCCGTTTTTCTGCTTCAAGGTTCTCAAGGGTCATGCCTTGAGGGTCTATCCCTGTTTTGCGCCCACCCACCCACCCTTGCATATCTAAGCTGGAAGCATCCTGCGCCAGGCTCGCATGCTTTGCTTAGCCTCTGCATCGAGTCACGTGATGTGACAACATGCGTACTTTCTCAGGATAGAACACAGCTGCCCGCCTGGCATCCCGCATCCCGCATGGGTCTGACAAGACATGAGACCTTTAATTGGTCAGATGATCGAGGACGCTTACCTCATCATCACCTACAAGTTGCACGCGTTGCACCTTGTTGCAGTTCAATGCCACCCTTTTGTATTTCACACCCCAAGGGTAACACACCCTGTGAAAGGTTGAGCACGCGTTGTTAACCTGGGGGCATTTGAGCAGGCTCCGCATGGGGGTGCAGGCACAGGGAAAGGACACGCATTGTTTTTCCTCCTGCACCCCCGAGCCTGGACTTCCAAGCAACTCCTCATAAAGAAAAAGAACCGAGCGCACCTTTTGTCGGTCGTTCTCTTCTGTCTTTTGATGCATGTTCCCTTACGTCTAGCAGTGATCAAGATTCTAACTGAAGCATCAGTCCCAGCGCGCTAAAAAATCAGTTTCGAGAACGCATACCATGCGTCTCCAAACAGTTTCCGGTCAGATGTGCACACTCACACTGGCAGGAACAACCCCGCTCTGAAGGGGGGTATATGGTTGGCTGCTGCACATTCAGAAGAGTCAGTGACATGACTGATGCAGATGGCGCCGAATCTTATTAGATCAGCCGACGAGGGTGGGGGGGAACTTGGCAACAACTGTTCGTGGGCAATTCATGCGGGCTTTGCTCGATGCGAAAGGCTTGGCCTTGCCTTTTGGCTCAAAAAGGGAGAGCCAAGTGGGTCACGAGCGATGAAATAGTGAGATGCAGCAATGCTCGCTCATCTCGCGACAAATGCAAGAACACTTGGAGCTCGTTTTGACAGCCCACTGCCCATGGACCCATTGACCCATTGACCCATTGACCCATTGACACATTGACCCATTGACCCATTGACCCATTGACCTATTGACTCGTTTTTAGCATTGGTGCGTCGGATCTATGGCGATGGCAAGTGTTGCGCTTGGAGAGCGGTTTGAAATCATGAGCACCGAAGAAACCGATATGCGAGTTTTCTCAAGGTGACACGCATGCCTCTTCCGAGAGGCGCGTGGCCCAGTTTTGTGTGTTGCCTTTCAGATACTTCGCGTGCAAATTTTGCGTCTGTAGTTTTTGCACATACATTTCCCAAATTCCCAAAACCCGTTTCTGGCCTGGCACAAGGCTCCGCACGAGCCTCTCACGTGGTGCTTCACGCGGACGTCAGCTTGGGCTAAACGCGCTCTCCCCGCGGCGATCCTTGAGCCCGCGTGACACGATCGGCTTGCTCCGTATGGGAATCAACCCTGAGGTCAGGCGCTTAAGTTCGCAGGCTTAAGGCGCTGTGTTGGGATTTGCAGGGATTTCCAGAAATTCAGGTTGCTCTCGCTCTTTTGCTCTTTTGCTCTTTTGCTCTTTTGCTCTTTTGCTCTTTTTGCTCTTTTGCTCTTTTGCTCTTTTGCTCTTTTGCTCTTTTGCTCTTTTGCTCTTTTGCTCTTTTGCTCTTTTGCGCTTGCGAGGCCTCGCTGAGCCCGAGGCGGTTGAGCCCCGCCAGCAGCGTGCGCAGCTTGTCCAGAGGTTCGCACAGCCGCTTCCTCTCCCCAGAGGAGTTGGCAGATATGCAGATATGCAGGTATGCAGATATTAGTTGGAGACTTTCACAAATCTTTTCAACTTGACTCGCGTCAGGAGGAGGATCGACTGGTGCTGAAGGGGGAGCAGGAACGGGTTCGTTTGGAAGCCCGGGAGCGGCGGGAGCAGCTCAGGGAAGCCCAAAAGCTGCAGGCGGAGCAGGAGCCTTCGAAATTTCGCAGAGAGTACAATCGTGCACTCACTTTGTATAGGTTTTTTGCAGATTCCTTTTCTTTTCTTCTTTTCTTGTCACTTTTTGCCTTTTGGCCTGTCCCTATTTTCCGAAGGAGCACCTGCTGCGGCTCCAGCGGAGGGCCATGGACCGGGAGACCCAGAAGCAGCGCCTCGAGGCGGAGCGCTTCGAGCAGTGGCGCGGGCGCCTGGAGCGCCGCGACGTGCACCGGGCCAAGCTCTGGGAGAAGGCGACGGGAAGGGGAAACGATGGGATCAAGGGGAGACCAAGGGGACCAAGGGAACAAGACACGAGAAATCAAGAAGGACGAGAGAGGAGAAGGCAAAGGAAGACAAGGGGAGACGAGGCAACTTGCTTTCGTTAGAAACGTGGGATTGCCAAGAGATTTCCTTTCGAAAGCCAGAGCAAAAAGGGAGGCTGCTCGGCCAGGAGCTCGAGAAGTTTCCCACGGGATCGGAAAGGTCACCCGTGAGGTCCCGGTCCTCCCGGGTGCCTTCAAGGAGTCCCTCTCAGGCGGCTTCTCCGAACCCCTCCCCGCGGTCCCAGGCACTGCGCAAAGCACCCTGTGTTCACATATCACATGTGACCGAAGCGCAGGTGTCGCGGCTGTCTTCCTCCATGTCCGCGTGCGGTCCTCGGCTCTTCGCGCGCTGCCGTATGGGAATGTGGCAAGGCTTTTGAGCCCGCGGGACCGGATCAAGAGCTGGGACTTGAACATCGCATCTTATACTCGGCAGGATCGGGCAGCAGGAAGTTCCTGTGTTTGCAATCAAGTTCTGACATCTCCAGGAAGTGCAGCAGCTTGAGACTGATCGATTGGCACTGCTCGCAGACAAGGACATGGGCGGAGTGTAACATATCTCGATCTGCTGTCACGATTCCGTGTCTCGCAATTGAAGCGATTGCAGCCAAGTATGCACAGGAGCTGCAAGTGCTGCAGGCGTGAGAGAAACTCCACCAGAGATCAATTGCGAAAGAAACCGATCCTTGAAGATTTCTTTGTTTTCTGCTTATTTGTGAAACAAGACCGAGAGCAGAAAACCGAGAAGTCTTCGACCGACCGGTGAGGCCAGGGAGGCCAAATCCCGGGAGCGGCAGGGCATGGACCTGCGCCGACCGCTCAACCCGATCGGGTTTTGTTGGTGCCCAAGAACAGAAACAAATCAATGTTTCGGCTCGGTCCGAAACAAACAAATACATCCAGGGGCTGAAGTGTTCAAGTGTCCTCAACTGAACTCTCAATTTTGTTTTGAACTTTGGTTTGAACTGATGGTTCCTGCCATCGGTGTGTCCTGAGGCCACGAGCGGCTGCATGTCCGCTCCGTCTCGGAGCTCGAGGCGATCCGCCTGGCGCGGGAGGAGAAGCGGCAGCAGGAGCTGCAGAAGCGGTCGAGAGACCGGGAGCAGCGCCACGAGCAGCGGAAGAGCAAGAGGCGAATCGCAAGCGTCGGCAGCGGGATGAAACGCATTGACTGGTTTAGTGACTAAGTGGGTTTCCCATGAAAGGAAGGGGGAAAGGGAAGGGGAGGAAAGGAGGAAAGGAGGAAAGGGAAGGAAGTTGTCGATTGCTCTCGTACATTGTGTAGTCTTCCAACTCTTGCAGGGCCGGAGAGGTGGGAACGAAGGAGTATGAGGAGCGAGAGTGAATGAGTGAAGAGTCTTGTTTGGCCACAACGGCATACCGGAGGAGCGGATGAAGGAGATACGTCTCCACGAGCAGAGGCAGAAGAAGGCCGTCCTTTGCAGCGATGACGGTTGGTGTTCAAGAAGCTTCAAGAGATGCAAATGTGTGAAGCTGAACTTAGCCGTTCCGTTGCCGCCAGTTGTACTTCAAGCAGCAAGCAGAAGAGCAGGCAGGGCTTGGGCACTGCAAGTGACTCAAAGAATCAGTCGAAATGCACAGGCTGAGGAAGGCAAGATTCGTGACCTGGGGCGCAGAGAATTGCAAGCTCAGGAGGCTTGGCTCCCAGCACTGTTTCTTTGTTCAGGGCGCTCTGCTGGCTCACACATACACATACACATACATATCTTATATAATTATATACACGCTTAAACATTATATCACACACGACATATGCATACATGCACAATCATGTGCGTATGTACAAACCAATCTCTATTTGCGATGCTGCCTTTGGCTGCAGGGTGGTTGTTTCTATTTTCCCATGAAAGTTGCTGAGGTTTATGGTGGAAAGTACTGTTGCTTGCTGCCAGGTGCGCATGCGCAAGGAGCGCGAGCACGAGATGCGTCAGAAGCAGCAGCTGCTGGCACGGAGTCTCAGCCCTTGCGGCAAGAGTAGCAAGTGGAAACTTGCACAAGCCGCAGAAGCGAGAGCTGAGGCTTGAGATGTCATCAAAACAATTAGCTTGAAGTTGAGAACGGGCCAATCAATCATTCAGAAACAGCTTGCACTTGGCTTTTCGAGCTTCATTTGTTGAGAGTGCTCTTTGCCGGAGGCGACGTTTTTTGTGTGCTAGGAGTGGCTCGCAGCTTAGCAAGGGCTCCTTGGTTGGTTGGTTGGTTGGTTGGTTGGTTGGTTGGTTGGTTGGTTGGTTGGTTGGTTGGTTGGTTGGTTGGTTGGTCGCAAACCAGCACAAATACAAATATCACCGCCCCTTCTGAAACAAGTCCCAAAGCCTGACGCAAGCCAACCCAGCCCGAAGCCACTCCCAAGTGTACCCAAGTTCAACCATAAGCAGCTAAGCTCAAAAAACAACGGAGGGTCATTTTTTAAAGGATTTACTTTTTAGTTTTCTTCAGGATTCTTTTTTGTTTCTCAGGGCGGGTGGCGTCATTTCATTTGGCTTTCATTTCGCATCCTTTGCATTCACAGTTCCTCTCTGTTTGGCTTTTGCGGCTTTTTTTTGGGTTTACGCGGCTTTTGCTGCTTTGGCTTTTCGCATTTTTGCATTACCAGTTCCTCTGGTGGCTTTCTGGCGCTGTGGCTTTTGCCGGCTTTCTGGCTTTGGCTTCTCGCATCCTCTGCTTTCCCAGTTGGTTTTCTGGACAGAGATTTAATTGCACTCCCATTTGAATGATCACTTCGAAGAACATCATGGTGGGTCTGCCGCCCCCCCCCAACCCCCGCGCTACTTTTTAGACTTTTTGTAGAGATTTAATTGCACCCCTATTCGAGTCATCACTTCTGCAAACACCATCAGGTGGGCTGCCGCCCCCCCCCCCCTCCCTCCAACCCCCCCGGCAGAGATTAAAATACGCCTCCAATAAAAGCAATTCTAAAATAAAACAAACAAATCCCAAATTAAATCTCGACTCAAAAAACAACTGATGCCAAGCGGTGGTCACGCCAGCTAGCCCCAAACGAACCAAACACCAACCCTGACAAAGCTCTAAAGCCGTCTAAAGCCTACCCGATTCCAGCCGCAAGAACTTAAGCGGCTTGAAACCAGCCCTGCAACGCAGCATGGGGCTCATGCCCGTCTTGCGGTGGCAACAGATCAGGGGCAGTTATCGCCCGGCGATGCTAGGGATGTTGCCCTCCACCCGCCCTCCTCTCTTGGTCACAGTCACGGTGCCACTCCTGACAAAAAGCCACTCCTAGCAAAAAAAACGTCGCGACCCTCTTTGCCTGAGGAGCACGCAGCGAAAGAGCGACAGGCCTCGACCTGCATTCCCCCCGAAAGAGGCGTGCTGCAAAGCCTCGCCCAGGCAGAAGCTGCGCGTGATGCCCGTGAAGTTATGAAGGAAGAGATGCGCCTGAGGCACGTTGCACAAAGGATACCTTCGATTGGATCCTTTTTGCCGAGCTTCCGAGCCACTGCAATTTTCAAGGTTGTATGTTCGGCATCGCATCGTATGAAGTCTTTGCCAGCCAAGCATAGGGAAGGTGCTCGTCAGACACACCATGAATCAATGCTTCAGGAAGGTGCAAGAGCTGGAGCTGAAGCGAGCAAAGGCAAGAGCTGAGAGAGCAGAGATCAGGAAATTGGCGGACTCTTGCGCATAGGTCCTCGCAGTGAAAGCCGACCAGGATGGACGGAGGAAAAAGAAGGAGGAGGAGTGCAGGGGGCTGGCGTGCCAGTGGCAATTCGGATGGGGGTTCGTGCCAGGAAAAGGCCTACATCTACACGCCCGTCCCGCGCTTGAGTGACAAAGTCAAGGCGCGGATGGGAAAAGCCTTGTGCAGTTCGACCGAGTGAAGCCTGGAAAAAGAGCGTCAGGCAGCGGCTGCAGAGGCCATGGCGCAGTGGGATGCCAGGATCTCAGCTTCGAGTTAGCGAGTGCGTGGCTATCGCAAGGGAGCCGAAACCGGAAGGGACTGGAAGGGACTGGAAGGGACTGGAAGGGACTGGAAGGGACCGGCAAACTTGAGGCAGAGATGAACGAGAAAGTGGCCGCGGTGCGCTGGAATTCGCTTGCAGTTCCTGAGATTTTGTTGCGTGTGCCAGGCCAGAACTGCTATGCCTGCGGGGTGAGGCAGGTGATTGCATGTCTCCATCCGCCGAATCTTGATGTACCAGGCAATGCATTTCGCGCACGGAATCACACCGAAGCCCGAGCTTCGGAGTTTGAGTGATCCCTGAGCGGAGCCAGCTTTCAATGGACAAGCAGGGAGTTGAAAGGCCTCAGCTTCGCACACGGGACACGATTTTGTCTCCGGCAAAATCCCCAATCCTTACATCTCGTAGTTGGTTCTTGCCCAACCCGATGTTGTCTTACTGGAAGCATGCAAACAATGATAAGGCCATGTTTCTGTTTTGAACGCTCATGGATCCAAACCTTGACTTTGAAATGGGCAAGGAACCCGCATCCACGTGGATTCTTGAGACGGGGGCACAGTTCCAGTTGTGCCCTCCCTTCGGCTTATGCACAGCCCGCGTCAGGCGCCACCGCGCCGCCTTAGCTTTGACAAAAACAAAACTGGGCTTAGCGGCTTGCGCGGATGTTCACTTCGAAACCTGTTGGGATTGTTTGCGACAACTCTGCCTGTCGCAGTTTCTCAGGCCCACAGCAACGGCCGCAGGGCCAGTTGCTTTCCATGTCATGCCCTATTTCGAAGCGGTAGGTGATGTCCATGACAGGAATCCCCCAGATCCTGACGGTTCTCTTCTTCTCTTTGTCTCTTGCGGGAGCGCCTGAATGGATGCCATGGCGCTCCTGTGTCTGGCGAGTCTCGGCATTCTTGCAGAGGGCATACCTGCGCCGCGTTCAAACGCATGGTCAGGCGCGGTCACACGAGCCAACACAAAGAGAGTGGCATCGCCCGGAGCGCGCTTGAAATCCCAGGGCAAATGGTTGTGGATGCCAGCGGCCGGCTGATGCCAATGCAGGCATTGAGTTTCTTGGGCATCGGGTTGCAAGGCCACAAGGTAGAACCTCAAAATAAGCCTTCGAGATAAGGTTCTTTTCATTTGAACCCCACTATGCAGATTTCCCTGTCAGGATACTGTGCCAGGCGCCAAGAGGTCCCATGAAGCTGGCATTGATTGTGCATCGACGTGGCCTTAAGGCCGGTGATCCGGAAGGTTGGCCAGGCCTTCAGAAATGATTTGTATTTTTCTGTTTCTTTGTATATGTTGCTCTGTTGCGGCATGTCGTTTGCCCGAAGTAGCCACCTTCATGACCAACACCGGAAGGCACCAGTGCCTCCTGTTCCCACAGATTGGCAACTCGGCTTACTCGGCTTGCTCGGCTCTGGCGCGCCATTGGAGGCTTGAGGCGAAGGGCGGGTTCTGGCTACACGTCTCCCAAGGCCTAGGCAGTCAGGGCCGAAGCACCAGGAGAGGAAGTTGTAGCTCCATCGGCAATTCGCAGCGTTTGCTTCAGGAGTTCGATGACCCTGCACTGCGCGGAACTGAGACATGGGTTGCAATAGGCAGGCAGCGATTCGGATTCTCGACAGGCCTCCAGAGGTTGAAAGAGAGGCTGTGGGCGCTGTCATGAGTGCCGATGGATCTTCTTTTCTTATCCATTTTTGTTTGCTGTGTGTGTGTGTTTTCTCTCTCTGGGTGTGTTTTGTGTTTGTTAGAGTGTAGCATGAGAAATAGTGTCTTCAGAATGTATTTCTGGGCAGAGTGCGAGTTCAGCCTGCAGGCACAAATCTCCAAGATAATGCAGCAGCCGCCAGAGTCCCCAGCGTTGTGCGCCAAACTTCTCGGACTCAGACTTCAGTGCAAGGCGTTCGAGGGACAAGACTGAGGTCCCCGCGCAACGTGAATGAGCCGAGGGCAACCCAGGCGAAGCCGCCGGAAACACCGGGCAGGCTAACGCCCCTAGCCAGAAGGGTTTGAGATGCGAAGACCAGCTGTCCCAAGAAACGACCGCTTGCATTTGGAGCATCGTAACGCAATCCTAAGACCTTGCCACGACCGCTTACTTCATAGGGCAGGCACTATTTTCCAAGGACATAATTTTCAGGGAAGGCTTTAGCGCCATGTCCGTCTCGAGTGCATCAGCAGCTGAGGACTGCCACAGATCTTCTCATTCTCAGCTCGGGTGCATTTCTTCTCCCAGCGCATCGCGGTGGCCAGAAAGGCTTGAACTGGCTTAGTGCCTTAGCTTACATAGACAGATGGGTCAACGAATGAACGAGCCAACGCTGGCTAGTCACCGGAAATGATAAGTGTTGGGCAATCAGCATGTGAGGGATTGAGTTCTTCGAATTAGTATCCACAAGCAGCCACGAAACATATTCCAGATGTTTGACTGACCCAGGTTGCATCTTTGCCATGCAGGCCTGCATAGTGTGGTTGGTCTTACCGATGGCTTTCTTGCCGGCGATTGGGGCAGACATTTGCAAGCATCACTGGAAACATGAGATTCAACACTGTCTCACCACGGATTCTTTGGTGGTGTTGATTGTGGATATTGCATTAAATAGTCGAGGGCGCTTGACGCTTGAACTCAGTGTGCAGGCCATCATTTGTGGTGTCTACCATTATTGCGACCAACATCGCGTGGGCACAGATCTGGATGGCCCGGTTTGTTCAGAGACCACCTACCGCAGCTTGGCAGTACCGTTCCATCAAGGCTTAGCAAGGCTTGTGTGGCGATTTAAGTTTGCACTTTGCCGAGGATTCTGGCACTTGGCTGACCATGGCATGGCTTACTTTGCTGCTGCCTTAACCACGATGCGGTGCCAAGCAAAGAAAGGCATTCGAGGCTTTTGGCATCCGACTGAGATCATGCTCCAGATGGCCTTTCTGATCTTGGGACCTGAAGATCCTACCCTCCGACGTGACACGACCAGGGACGCATGGAGCTTTGCGCGGGAGCCTTCTGCAAGCTCAGGCCTGGCTCCGAGTTGTGGCGGAGGCTCCCTCGTGGAATCTCAGCCGCAACACACGCGATTCCTGGCTCCCGACTTGGTTTCTTGAGATGTTGAGGCTGGGAGAGCACTGACTTTATCCAAATCCGTGCTTCTCGGGTTTCAAAGCGACACCCTTGACTACACGGGCTTTACCCTGAATAGGAGGCATGTCAATAACACTTCGATGCCAGCCGAGATTTGCTGAGGCTATGGGCACGCGGATTTGTCCTGCTGGCGTTCTCAGCATTATCCTGTGGCTGAGCGCGCGCAGCGATCATGCCGTAGGACGTGCGGGGTAGAAGAAGCGAACATAAAGGTTGGCAGTCGAAAGGACTTGTGAGCGTTTGGGTCTGCTTGAGGATGATAGCATTCTGGATCCCCGTTTCATGGCAGGAAGCCCTGCTTTCCATTTGGTGCTGGGAGGCCTTTGCTGTGGCTTGGCTGAAGGCATGACACCGGCAAGCTGCAACGGTTTTCCAGTCTAAGGTCTGCTTTTCCTCTTTGGCAAAGGTGCCTTGGCAGGGCCAAGATGCAAGTAGCCAGAGGTCTTGAACCGTTTGGCTGTGAAGTGTTCTATTGTCCGAGGCTCCTTCTGGCTGCTGCGCCCCGCAGCTGCAGCGCACACGCTGGCATTGCCACAGGCATGGCGGCCCGTATGCAACGTCCACCGCAGAGTTCTTTCGGGGACATAGCCCGACATAAGTTCAACTTAGTTTGAGCCTCAAGGGTATGCCAGGCTATAAGGTGCACAAATCACCCCGACACCTTTGCTCGGGGTAGGGATGGCACAACTTGTAGCAGTAGTAGCAGTCTGGTTCGCCCTACAAGCTGAGCAGAGTATTGCAAGTGAGCGCTGGGCAGCAGCTCGTTTTGATGGGCTGCTTGAGAGTTGGCAGTTCACGGTATCCAAATCCAGGTGCATTTGTCAAGTGAGTCGGGGGACGGGGGTGCCCAAAAAAGGGGTCGATGTAGGGCGCGCAGCCAAGGCTTCGGCTGGTCTTGTGCTTTTCCTCTGAGCCTCAAGCTGCAATTCAGAGTTGCGTGGGTAGGCACAAGTCAAACATTGACCGGTCAACAGCTTGCAGCCGTTTCCATTGGAGCTGTTGTGAGGTAGGGCTGAGCATCCTGCTGTTCTTGGGAATGCAGACAGTCGCCAACGACAAGACGAAGGCACGGAGCTCACTGGAGCAAATCTCTGCAGAGCTGTTCCTTTGTAAGCATCTGTGTTAGTGTGGCGTACACGTCGCAGGTTGGGATGGGCGGCTACAAGGCGTATGCACACTCGATGTGGCACGCCGGCTGCCCAGCTCCTTTTCGCTTCAAACGGGCGGGGAGACCTCGGGGCATGGGCTTAGGTGGCGGCAGCTGTGCTGGCGGCCGGCGTGCTGGAGCTCCTGGAGTGGCAGCGCCTGCGCTTCCTGCAGCAGGATTTCCAGGCCGACTCAGTCACCTCACGTCCAGAGCTCGGCTCCATGCCGCCGCGCTGATCGATGTTCATGGCTTGCCAGGGCCACGAGTTCTTCGGGAAAGATGTGCGAGAGAGAACGCGCTCGTGAGAGATGCAAAAAGGCATGCCGCCGTGTGAAAGACTGAGAGTTTGAAGTGATGTTCTTGGATTTGTCGCGTGAGCGCGAGTTGTATGGCTCAAACCCATGTGACGGAGCAGCTTTGGGTGTGTGTGCTCCGAGGCCAGGCAAAGTGCTCAAGAAACCGAGTCATTCCGCTGTCCAAATCGAGGGCATGGATGGCGAGTTCGGAGTCTGCCGCCTTGAGGGTTGGTGATTGCGCATACGCTGGACGATGGCGTGATCGATGCCATCTGAGAATCTGAGGCTGTGAGGTCCGACAACCTGGGAGCCCGCTATGGCTTCTCGACTGGAGAGGTGTCGGCTGAGATTTGATACCGCTAGCAGCTGAATTGCTCGCTGGCGAATCTGGCTTTGGACACCCTGCGCGGGGCGCGGGGGGGGGGGGGGGGGGCGCTTTGCAGCAGTTCTGGGTGTTGAAGTCTTGCTGCGTGCTCAGAAAAGCGGTCAAAAGACAAGAGCCTCTCGGAGAAGGAGCGAGAGGTGCGGCAAGACGGCACTAGGACTTGCACACGCGACAGACAGAAATTGGTTTAGCCTCTGCTCACGAAAAACCGCCACTTTGTCAGAGCCCATGAACAGCTCGATATGCATCCCATTCAAAGAGGGAAGCAAATTGGACTGGCCTTACAGATTGTTTCAGCGATACAGGTGCCTGGCATGTTGAATCTCATGCGTCGCTTGCACAGGCTGCAATGTACTTCACTGTCGCTGAGAAGCACATGCAAGAAGAGAAGGTGGGGCAATCCTTTCGAGCGTGGCCTTGCATGTTTTAAGAGCAGCCTTGCTTCTGCCTCGTTGATTCGCAAAGCTAAATGAAAGATCGCAGGCCGAGGAAGCCTTGAGACATTGCGAGGAGGCTTGGGTCGGCACGTTCAAGGAGTAGGCAAGTTACTTGCTTTTGCACAGCACCACGATTTCCAATGATTGGCACCGCAACTTGCAGCTCAATGTGATCCTTTGCACATGCTTGGGCTAGCAAAAGCCAACACAGAAATCAACCAGCGTCACCATGAGTTTATGTGCAAGGCTAGGGCAAATTTGCTTCTGCTCAATCCACAAAACAACAGGGGAGCAATGCCACTCTCTACAGCCCACCCTTTCAACCGGACAGCCCGAATGACTTTGCAGGCGCTTTCCCGGTTCCGAGAGCGCGGCTGCCCAGGGGGGGCGCATGGACCGCTTCCCATGAGCTGACTGGGACGGGAACTTGGCCAGGCTTGGGGATGTGACTGGTATTGTGGATACCATTCGGATGAAGATTCACGTTTACTGCTTCAAGGCAGGGGGGTTGCCACGAGAAAAGGCACGCTCCGGCGACTTGCTTGCCAGGACCGGCGCAAGGAGGGCAACCAGATTGCCAAAGAGGAGTTGGCGAGAATCCGAGGGCAGAAGGACATGTTGGGATATCCAAATTGGCAGGGCAGTCAACTGTTTGGCCGGTGCGCCATGCACCTGAGCGGACATGCATCCAGCAACATGGCACTTGAGAGTAGTACAGCTTCACTTTCTGGAACATGTGTTGAACACAGGGTGATTGAGGTCTTGCATGTTACCATGCCCGACCTAGCAGCCTGCCAGGACCGAACCGGAGAAGCCAAAATGCTGCCTGGGGCCGACTTGTTTTGAAACGTGCTCGAAACGGCTTCGCCAAAACACCCAGGCTCGCCTTGGCAGAGGTCAACACAGAGCGTCGGGCATCCCAGATGCGCAGACGCACGCAATGTCAAGAGGTACAAGCCCTATCCTTCAGGTCGTGGCTACAAAAACCGCGAAGAAGCGAGGATTTGGGCCAACGAGGCATGCAGCGATCATAGGTACTGTACATCAGATGAGGTTCATGCACTTTGCTGCACTGCAGCAGCTTTCTCGAGGCATTAGCGATGTTCAGAAAAGATGGTGATAAGAAGCGCCAGCCTTGATTTTTCGGAACGCGGAGCCTTGCAGCCGAGTCAGTTTTAGAGAATTGCATCGGAAAGGGGGATCCGCATTTGAGCATCAACGCAGCATGGCTTATAGATCATGTCAGCACACGCGCTTACAATTGCTTGGGCATTGTACAATATTTTCACAGGGATTTCCAATATGTATATTATATTCAATACACTTGTGATATATATATATATATGATTGGTATTGTCGGGTTCAGAGCGGGCCGTAACGAGGTCTTGTCAGGCTGCAAACAGGACATTCGTAGGATCAGCCATCGCGCAGCTGCCGGGCATCTTCTGCTCGAGCACTCAGCTGGGAGTGCAGAGGGGTGGCAGCCATGCTTCCTGCTTGATTTGCGGGTGTGTGGTATGTCTCTTCTTTTCTTTGCTGCCCACATTTGTGGAGTATTGGTTATCCGCCACGAGTGTTGGCAGCATGGCAACCCGTCACCGTGCTAGACATGCTTCATCTTCAAAGCTGCGGAGGGACTTTGCCCGTTGTTGGGACTTCAGGCGGCGGAGGGCGAGTGTTACCCCGGAATTTGGGTTGGATTCGTGCGAAGCTGCCTTGAGCGCTTCTTTGGGGGTAGTCTTGTCCTTTTGTCAGATATTTCCACAGCTGGATGAAGCCCGCAGACCTCCCGAAAGCCAGGGGGCGGCAAAGAGACATTTTCCCTTTGCCGTCATGCCGCAGTTGGCCACTGAGCCCACCCTGTCAGAGCACGTTGCTTTGCTTCTGCTGAATCTCTGCTTGGCAGCCTTGAACACGCTGGCTATGGATATCAGGCCTGGTTCAAGGGAAAAACTCTGCAGATCTGCGTTTACAAGTGCTCAGCGAGCGGCGCACGAGCACATTGCGCAGAGTTGCGTGCGTTTTCTGCACGAGCTGAAACAGCACCAGGGTGGTACTTTTTCTTGGCGTGGCAGCTTCCAAGCTTTTGAGTCCAAGGCTGTTTGCAGTCGACTTGCCCACCCAAGCCGGCACATGCGACCCTTTCGCCTTGCTGCCTGCAGATCTCGCAAGTGACATCAGGAGCATGCAGGCAGTTTTTCCCACTTCTGCTGTCCCTGACCACAGCTATGAGTTCACCGGCGCGTCCCGCATTGAGTATGCCAAGTTGGTTTTGCGGCAGTTGAGATGCGGCAAGGTGGCGCTCAGACGGCAGCGCAGGGCCTTGGGAGATGTTTTCTGCGTTGCCAAGTCAACCCCTGGAAGGCAGAGGGAAGTTTGGAACAGCTCAAGCACGCGAATCCCAGCTGCTGCACCGACTTGCTCTTCAGGGCAGAGGAAGATGTCTTCAAGTCGAAGCGGGATGTCCACACCTGCTTTGACGTCTTGAGGGCACCTGCGCACCTGCAAGAGTGGTTTGGCAGGCCGCCTGTGACTCTTCATGAGTTGAGCCAGATTGGTCAGGCGAGCCCGCGCAGTTTGCAGCAGTGTGTTGTGGATACAGATGGTGGTACAGTTCCTCTCTTCACACCTTTGTTTCCCACGAGCACAGTTTGGCCAATGGGTCTCAGCTGGAGCTCCTGCGGAGAATGCATTTTTGACGCTGGAGTCTCCCCCGCCTTTGGGCTTCGAGGCGTGCGGCGTGGCTACGGATGACACATTCTGTTTCCACAAAAGCGAATCCCTTGGCAGAGAGCGGCTGCGAAGGTTGGATGCTGCCTTTGAGCGGCACGGCGTGCCCAAGAACGCGGAGAAGGATGCAACGCTGGCATCTGCTATGATAGCTCTGGGGTGCCAGCTCACTGCGCGACCCCCTGCTGCGGAGCCGGTGAGTTCAAAGCTCGTGCCACTTTTTGGCGCACTGTTGGATGTTTTCTTGGCTGGAAAGGCTTCCCCGCCAGGCCTGAACCGAGCTTTGGTGGGCCTTGAGCAATGGTTTTGCCTTCTGACCAGGGCCATGTTCAGCGTGTTTGACAGCACGTATGCTTTTGTCCGCCGCGAGTGCGCGGATCAAATCCAGTTTTTGCCGGACAAGGCTCGCGCCGAGCTGGTTTTAGCTGCCTTTTTGATGCCGCTTCTGGGTGCTGATTTAGGGCGTGAGTTTCTTCCTGCTATCACTGCGTGTGATGCTTCACCGGCTTTTGGATTTGGTGTCAGTTGCACGAAGTGCTCGAAAGGCGCAAGTCGGGTCACTCTCTGAGAGGCGAGGCGATTTCGTCCGCTTCTTTTCGCCTTCGCAGGCATCAGACAGAGATCGCATAGGCAAACCTCACACGTTGCCTTTCAGTCAAAGCAGATTTTGCGACGCTATCAGCGCCAAGGCCAAATGGGAAGCTCATTCTAGCATTCTCGAAGCTCACGGTCTTCTGCTGGCAGTGGAGTGGTTGCTGCGCACACCTGTGAACTTCAATCGCCGGTTGGTCGTGCTGGTGGATGCTAAGGCAGTTCTTGGCGCGGCAAGCAAGGGCAGAACATCAGCACCACGTTGCTGGCCTCTTGCTGGCAACCAACAGCCTGTTGCGACTGGTGTATGTGCCGTCAGAGCACATCCCTGCAGACGCCCCATCCTGTGGTGTGCGCAGGCGGCCCACATGCCGGGTGAAGCGTCGCACCAAGAAATCTCGATTTGGCACACCTTTCAGCCGGTATTTGGAGCAGTTGGAGCGCTCTGCAGAGGTTTTGAGCAAGGTGTGGGGGACCAGCTTTTGACTTTCCTCTTTGGGTTTTGCCCACACTCACCTACGCTCTGCTACTGGAACCGCTGACGGCAAAGCCGGGTTCTGTGTTCAGCAGTGTGGGTTACCACGGCCTGTGCCCACCGTGAAGTGCTTTGCGCAGCACGCTTACAGTGCATGGTTTGACAGTTGTGCTTTCACGTCCTCTGCGCTCTGTCTACCTTCTTTTTACAAGCCTTTTGCTTGACGGCAGCCTCGGCTGCCAGCCGCTTGAGTATGTTGGATTTTGGTGGCTTTTCTTTGCGCCATTTCACATTACTGTGGTGGCCAGCTGTTGCTGATGCAGCGGCATGCTTTTTGAGGAGTTGCGTGGATTCTCTACAATCAGGTGTGCGTGGGCAAAAGCTTCCGAATTCGTAGTAACCTTTGAGCATTCAGCAAGATGGCTGAAGCGCATGAGACGACAATACATATATCAACAAATATGTATATATATATATATATATTTATACATGTTTGTATTACTTGTATTTGTTGGTGACTTGAGGATGCAGGCTTACACCATGCTTTGCCTGCTCAACATCAACATGTTGGAGTCTCAGGATTATCATGCCACAGAGTTGTGCTAGCGCACACAGTTGCGTTGCCTCAGCACGATTTTCCAAGGAAATGGAGGGGTGACAAAAAGAT